ACAACATTGAGAAGAATGGGAATCCCCAAGCACTTGATTGTACTCATGAGGAATCTGTACCTTGACCAGGAGGCTGTCGTTCGAACAGAACAAGGGGACACTACATGGTTTAAAATCAAGAAGGGAGTGTGTCAGGGTTGTATCCTTTCTCCACACTTATACAATCTATATGCTGAGCAAATAATCCGAGAAGCTGGACTATATGAAGAAAAACGTGGTATCAGGATTGGAGAAAGAATCATAAACAACCTGAGATATGCAGATGATACAACTTTGCTTGCTGAAAGTGAGGATGACTTAAGGCACCTACTGATGAAGGTTGAAGAATACAGTCTGCAGTATGGATTACATCTCAACATAAAGAAAACAAAAATCCTCACAACTGGACCAATGAGCAGCATCACAATAAATGGAGAGAAGATTGAGGTTGTCAAAGAATTTATGTTGCTTGGTTCTACAATCGATGCCAATGGAAGCAGCAGTCAGGACATTAGACGACGTGTAGCATTGGGAAAGTCAACTGTGAAGGAACTGTTTCAAGTGCTGAGGAGCAAGGATATCTCCTTGAGGACTAAGGTGCGCCTGACACAAGCCATGATATTTCCAATTGCCTGGTATGCATGTGAGAGCTGGACAATGAATAAGGAAGACCGAAGAAGAGTTGATGCTTTTGAGTTGTGGTGCTGGTGGAGAATGCTGAAAGTACCATGGACTGCTAAAAGAACTAACAGATCTGTCCTGGAGGAAGTGCAGCCGGAATGCTCCTTGGAAGCAAGAATGGCCAGACTTCGTCTCACCTATTTTGGTCATGTTGTAAGAAGGGACCATTCCCTGGAGAAGGATGTCATGCTTGGTAGGGTGGAGGGTCCACGAAGGAGGGGGAGGCCTTCAACGAGATGGATTGATACGGTGGCTGCGATGATGGGCTCAAGTATAGCAGGGATTGTGGGGCTGGCGCGGGATCGGGCAGTGTTTTGTTCTGCTGTGCATGGGGTCGCTATGAGTCGGAAACGACTCGACGGCACTTAACAACAACAACAAAGTATGTTGGAAAAATCAGTAATTTGGTAGTTAGACCTAGGATCACATCCTAGCTCCCAGACTCATAGATTGTATGGCTTTGATCAAATTACCCTATCTTTGAGTTTTGTCATCTGATGATAATATCTCATTGATAGCATTATAATGGAATTAAAGCTGCATAAATTTATTCTCATTGTCTCTGGCACATAGTCAGTGCTCATTAAGTATTACTTGCCTTTCAAAATATACCAAAGTCTTCATTAAGAGGAAAAATGGAAGTAAATTAAATAGGAAAATTGGTAAGTAACTTATGATTCATCTACTTGATATGCATTCCATTGTAGTATATTGACACAACAGCTGCAACAATGAGCTCAAACATACCAACAGTTGTAAGGATGGCACAAGCCTGGCACAATGTTTTGTTCTGTTGTTGGTAGAGTGGTTGTGAGTCAGGACTGACTTGATGGCACCTAACAACAACAACATAGTACATGCATATTATGTAGTTCCACATTTTCATAGAAAATATATAGAGTTAAATGAAAAAGTAGGCTATAAAATTCTAAAATATAAGTAAATTTTTAAATTTATGTAAAAAATTGTACTCTAGCAAATAATAGATTATAAATAACTATCATTCTTAATTGTGTATAATGTCATGAATTTGCTCTGGTGGCCTAGTGCCTAAGGCATTTGACTGCTAACCAGAGGCTGAGAGTTCAAACCCACCAGCCACTCCTCAGAAGGAAGGCTGGGCAATCTACTTCCGTAGTGATACCGGCTTGGAAACCTAAGGAGAGGTCACTATGAGTCAGATCCAACTCGATGGCAGTGAGTTTTTTTGTTTGTTTGTTTGTTTTTATGTGTTTTTACAGAAATAGCCACAAAACAAACATACCAGCAAATACTTTACCAATTGAATTTATGTAAGAATATGAGCATAAAAATTTAATGGAGCTATTAACACAAATAATCCATTAGGCTCTAATCTGGAGTGTCTGAATCTCTAGTAACACAAATCCTAGTGGACATGGCTCTAAAAAACAAAGAAACCTGGCCTGTATTTCTCACTGTTTTACCTCAGAACCTTGTATAAGGGTATACTTCTCTGTGCTTCAGTTTCACCATTTCATTATTTAAAGTGGAGAATCCCTAATCCCAGCCCTATCCCTTTTCCTATTTCATGATGCCTTAGGAAGATATCATTGAGTAATATGGAGCAATTGGAGCCTGTTTTAAGGAGCAGCGTAATTTTTTAAAAGGACATTATTGGTTTGGATGGTAAATAATTGCCTGAAGGCAAATCCTGTGAGGTACTTTAACAGACACAAACAGTTACCTTCCTGTTGGCACATCCCATGTTTGGCAAGTGAATTCCATTCCTTACAGGAAGGTATAGGTGCTTCATTGTGTTTCTGAAGTCAGTCGCTTTTGCAAAACTAAGTAATTGACATTTTTTTCATTTCTGAGATCAAATTTTCATAAATCATTCAACTTGAATGCACTGAGAATGTGTTAATCTAGTGATTGCTGAAATTTAGTAGAGACATTGCAAAACATGATATTTAAGTATTTCCTCCTAACCTTTTACCTAGCAAGATGTAAGAATTCTAAATGGAAAGATGCCCTAATGTATAGAAAGGAAACAAAGTAAGATGAGCCTATCAGTAAGAAGCCAAAAGAAGCACAATACAGTTCTATCTCAGTAATTTGGGATTCCACTGATGGGATTTGGAATGATAATAACCTTGAAGAGTAGAGCTTACTTTGACATTATGATGTAGTTGTTTTGTTTTTAATAGTTGACAGTGGGGATGATATTATGGGGCAGTGATATATTTAACCAACTTGATAGCAATAACATCTGGCTTTTAACACAATAAGTGAAGAGGACTTCTACTGGAAGCTATTTGTTAATAGTTAAGTCAAGTTATTCTCAGTTTTGTTGTTTTTACCTTTTGTTGGGGGCTTGGGGGTGCGTTTTATTCCAGGCACAGAATGTATTCCAGGGCCATAGTATTGGGGGTCTCATCAGATTTCATCTGACCAGTAATTCTGGTCATTATTGAGTTTTTGGATTTTGTTCCACATTTTCCCTCCCACTCTATCTACGATCTCCAGAGTTGATCCTTTCCTGAGTGGTTGGCATTGGTAGCCAGGCACCATCCAGTTCTTCTGGTCTCGAGGGCCATCATGTCCTATGGCTGATTGCTTCCAAATGCACTTGTTTTTGTTTTATTATGTTTTGTTTGCATTCTTCTTTGCTTCCGATGCTCGGAGACCGTTAACTGCATCTTAGATTTTAACAGTGAATTGCAGTTCATTTAAGAATATTCTATACTTTAGACTAGTTTTCTAATTCATACTCCACCAACACCCCCTTCTGAATTAGTGAGATTTTGTTTTAAAGGATTTATGAATCATAATATTCAGAGTGTATAAAATAACTCGAGTTTTATTACTAGGGAAACTACAATGAATACACATACTAACTGTGAATGCAGTGAATTTTCCAGTGAATCTTCTGGTTATTTCAAGTATTTGTACCACTAATCTAAAGTTGTTTTAATGTTTATATAATATTTATGCATAATTTACAATTGAGAAAATGAATATAATAACCTTAGAAAGGAAATATTCATTTTTCCTCTAAGATCTTACATTTCTCAAAGCAAGTATTTTGATGCATTGAATTTTACTTCCTGTCCTATTTTCTGTTAATAGAAATTGTGCTATATGTAAAATCATCCAATAAACTTGAGTTGCTTTTCAGTGTTGTACGTAGTTGATTAGTTCATTCCTTAACAAAACTTCCAAACTGTCTAAACTATTGTATGACATTAAGAATACCCTCATTCTTTCAGTATCATTCTCTGTGCTGTGTTTATTTGCAAAGGACCCTCATGCATGGGTCCATATAAATGAGGCAAACTATGAAGCAGGCTAGATGATGTCACTCAATAGTCATTAGGGAAGGAAAATTGTGTATATGAAAACTGCTCAAGTATAACTTTCACTTATAAGGAAGATTTCTGTCTCTGAATTATGCAAAATATTTAGTTGAGATTTTATACTTTCTGTTAAAAATAAAAATTAATGGTCTGATCATGTTATCATTTGACAAGTACAACTCAGATTGATTCACATGAATATGATCTCCCTCCCATGGAGTGACCAAAGAACTGTGAGCACCGAGAATGGGCCTCTAAAATTTTTACTCTATTTTCAGTTAACTAGTGGATTTTAAATCAACTATAAAAATTGCTTTTATTTGACTAAAAACCTGAAGAATATAGGTAATTTCTAGGCTATTTATGATACCCAGGAATACAGTACTCTTGGAAATTCTTTTTAAATGTAGTACACAAAATCTGGATTTAGTGATGTCAAATCATTTGTAATATTTAAATTATTTGCATGGTACTTGGACATGAAGTTTTTCCCAGCTAGCACCTAATTCCTTTCTTTATTTCAATCAGCTGACTTTGTAGAAAACAAAGAAATTTAATGCATAAGCATTGTACAGTATACCAACCAAGGTGATACTTATTTAGAGAAATAGCAACTAGTATTTTTAGGTTGAAATATGTGCTTCTGTTAGGTAAAAATCAGTTTGAAACTGCTCCACATTTAGTATGCTATCCTGTCATTACATAGAAAATAGTTCATTCACAACCGTAATGCAAATAGTTGAATGTATTGAAATGAGTGTCTTATGAGGATCTTCATGTGGCATCTAATGCTGACATAATCCCAGCATCTAGGTTAAAGTTGTTGTTGTTGTTGTTTAACCTTAAATACTTGGCACTCTGTACCATCCTCTCTCTCTTAGAGTAAAGCTTTGTTTCCTATCATGATTTCCAGGACTGTTTGGTCACAGCAAATAGTGTCCTTTTTTCAGCCAAAACATCCCTAAAATAATTGTACTTTTTATTTTCTTTTCTCCCTCCCACACTGTCTCACCCTCAATTTAGGTTGGAAAGGCTGGTGGACGTCTTGAGGAAGAAAGTTGGAACAGGGACCATTAGGACTGTGATCTGACTGAAAAAACGACAGTCTGGGGAAGCAATCACATCTGGTGACCAGGCTGCTTCATTCAACACTGTGTAAACACTAAAGCCTTAACTTAGCAAACAGTTGTTAGAAGTGGGACACTCCAACCACATTCCAAGCTGAGATAAAATCAAATCACAAATGTTTAACCACTTTGCTGCTGACTTATTTATCCAAATGTATTAACTACAGACTTTTACCAATGGGTATCTATAAGGTTGCAGGTTATTTTGTAGCTATTTTGTATCTCAGTATATTTTCATATAAATCTTTTCATTGAGATTTAGAGAAACATGGCAAAGTTGATCATGGTCGTATCTTCACGTATGGCCTTTTTGTAATCAGAATGCACCAAAGTAAGTCTTGTCTAAACCTTAATGCACTGTGCTGGTAAAAATTTGAAATATATGCATATTTTAATATAGAGTATATTTCTTAACCAATGAAAGAGATTTAGATATAAGAACATATAACTTTCCTTCAACACATGCATATGATCTTTGTTGGTATTAAAGAATATTAAGTATAGATGCTAAAAATTAAATGTATAATTTGCTTTAATAAGAGTTTGGTACATTAAAATACGTTTATCAGGCATCATTTCTGTTTAAAGCAACGCAAACTGTTTTCAATAAAAAGAAGAGATTGTTAATATATAAGTTCATACTGTCAGTTTTTTTAATGTTGACATAATTATCTAAACTCTGTACAACCTATAAAAATTGTCAAGTCTCTGTCCAGTAGGCTAGGACACTTTTTGCTTGAAAATTAGCATTTGCTAGCATGACAACAACAACAAACATGCCTCTACCCTGAAAGATTAGAGATCATCAAACCAAGTAAGTATTCTTTTAGATCATCATTACTTAGATTATTATTTGAGCTTGTGTTGTGGAAGAGAGGAATCTAATACGTAATAAAATTAGAATGTAAAAATGTAAGGACTCAAAAAGATGTAAGCCTGTAACTTAGTTTAGATTACCTACTCTTTTATTTCATTTTAAGAGATAATTTAAAATAGTTACACCATAGCAGCTACTTATAATCATATGAAGTTATGAATAAAATAGATATTTTATATTTGGCCATAGGGAAAAATGTCTTCATATTTTTAGATTGATTAGAAGAGACACCAGTAGGCAATGGCTGTGGCTGGAACAGGATGAGATAGATGGTTAGAAACTGAATCAGTAACAATTTTTTAGGCCAGTGAAAAATTTTCTGAGTCCATATATTTTTTAAAAGTCATCTTTAAGATTGAGCTAAATGATATACAATTGCCTATTTTCAGGACAAGGGTAAAATAATTTACTACATTTTTCTTTCATATATCACTGGAGATTATTCACTTGAATTTTTTTAACTCTGCAGGAAAATGTAAGGTACTTTCTTTCTTACATCCATTAAATTAACTAGCTGTTGGAACTGGTTCACATTGAGTTTGAATTTAGAATTTATCATGTTACCTATTTTAAATGATTTTTTAAACTATGAGAATTAGGACATATGGATAGAAGACATTTGTAATTATGTATAATTTGGTCACACATGGATTCTCGACTCTGGGCTGTAATTGCAATATATAACAGCTCCCCACTGGAGTAATCTAGGATGTGCAAGAAAGTAGAAAAACAGCCTTCTTCAGAAAATGTAGAATATTAGTTTATTCCTGAACCCTCCTTAAAAAAAAAATCACAAGTAAATTTAAATTTTCACTTTAGTTCTAAAGAAAATATAGATCTTTCCTGAGTTACTTTGCTTGGGGTTTTGGAAAACACAAAGTATAGCATAAAAATATCTCACAATTTTCAAGCATCTTTTTTCTATAATAAGATTAAAGCAATTAATTCTTGTGATCAATATCCACAATAATTTTTATAGAATTTAAGATTATAAAGTTCAATTTACAAAACAACTCTAACATCCACTATCACTCAATGTAAGTAATCTACAAAAATACATTTGCTTGAAAGTGAGTTGTTTACAAATGCAAAATATTGCAACCTACTATTATCAGTCATTGATTTCTTGTACTTAAAAATGTCCACCAACAATATTTCAGAATAGACTGTTTCTTTGTATAAAGACATAATCTTCAATTCTCTACAGATTCAATGATAGTATAACTTCATAAGCATTTCACACTGCTCAAAAAAGTTTTGAATTTGCTTTAAATATCATCAAATCTAATTCCTATAGTAACAGGAGAACGTCTCATAAGAATAAATAGTTCAGAGTAAAGGCAGAAAACAATACTAATATGTGTAGCACTTGATTTATATAGTCCTTTCACATCTTTTTTTTATTATTATTATTCAGTCCCCTCAATAACCATATAATAGTAATGATATATCATATATCAGTTATATAATAATGATGATAATTTTAGCATTATTGTTATTTATCCATTTTACAGATGAAGAAGCAGATTCAAAGAGGCTAGGAATTTGCCAAAGACTGGCTAGACTTAAAACTGAGGTCGTATGACTAAATTCCATGCAATTGCAGGTCCTCCAAACCATTCTATAAGGAAAAAAAATAAAATGCAAAGATTTTAACTCTTGCAATTTCTGTTATTATTGTTTTATTTCTTTTATATGCATGCATTGAATTATCTAACAGTCAAGAGATTGTATGTACTTCTTTCAATGAAATCTAATAATGTGTATGTGTTAGTAGCATTGTGTTATTACTATCTCTCTGTAGTATTTTACTGAGAAGCTCTGGTGTTGTAGTGGTTAAAGGCATTTGGCTGCCAACCAAAGGGCCAGTAGTTCAAACTAATTGTAAATATTGTAAAAATGGATTGTTAATAAAAAGTAACCCTGAATTGCTTTGCACTATTTTTAATTTAGCTTGATGTTAAAACCTGACAGTTTTATAAAATGGTAGTTTAAACTCACTCTGCCTCCTCTAGGAAATGTTAGAGATAAAACCAGTAATAACCAAATTATAAGCAAGGTTATTAGTTGTAAGTAAGGTATAAGCAATTATACAACACAAAACACACTACCATCGAGTTGGACCCAAGTCATAGCGACCCCTCCTTGGGTTTCTGAGGCAGTATCACTACGGAAGTATTATAGCAAGGTTATTATCTAATTATTAATATATGAGAAATTTTCATTCTCCTTTCATTCTCTTGTATAAGTTATTATACACACACATATACACACAGATATGTATGTAGACATATAACATACACATACCAAAAAGAATATATTTGTCTTTTTAAAAAACTGATTTATTAAGTCAATTTTTAGGCTCCAGTGGTTTCAGTGTTTTGTTTTTTTATTAGAAATGCACGTGGTTTCTGAGGCTTTTAAACAAATACACGGAATAGTTGAAAGATTTATATTGCTCATGCTTAGCTAAATATGTCATCTCTAGAAAAGATGTGGTTTATTTTGGCACTGTTTTAAAAACTCAAATATTTTAAACGTTTGTTAAGTTGGAGCTTGCACATTTGAACTGGTAGCATGCGTTCCAGAATAACATCTCAAGTTTCTAAACTTCTTGTAATCCTTTTATTAGAATAAATTTTTCTGAAAAAGTTTTCTTTTTCATTGTGTACTTTAAAATAAGTTAAGATAAATTAATAAAACTTTAAATTATTTTAACATTGTTGTTAACATGTTGTTATTGTTGTTGTTGTTATTGTTATGTGCTGTCGGGCCCGACTCATAGTGACCTCTCCTTGGGTTTCCGAGGCAGTGTCACTACGGAAGTAGATTGCCCCATCTTCCTTCCGAGGAGTGGCTGGTGGGTTTGAACCGCCAGCCTTATGGTTAGCAGTCAAGTGCCTTAGGCACTATGCTACCAGAGCTCCTGTTGTTAACAAAGGGCTTCATAAATTGAATTTTATAATCATAAATGTATGTTTTTGAGATTTATTCAGATACTGCACCTTATTGATCATTCCTTGCACAAGTCTTAATAGTCTTCTTTCAAATTTTATTATATTTCATATACAGTTTTGGAGAAAGCTTATACTTTGGAAGCCACCAGTTTTTTTTAGTTATTATTAACAAATGTGTATTTTACTGCACAGACTCAGATATTTAAGTATATGTTTATTTTTTATGCACATGAAATTCCCATTGCAAATTCTACACAGATTTCATTGCAGTCCTTATACGATGTTCTTAGTCAAATTTGTAAATGTACAATCCTGAAGAAATTGTCTTTAATATGCATTTTTAAATATATTACAAGAAAGAAAGAGATTAAGTTCACCATCAAACTGTGCCTGACCTCCTTAACAAGTTTAAATAAGAAAAAAATCTACAGGAACAAATTTGTTACATAACTCAAACGCACCTTTCAAAACTATTTAGATATAAAATTATACTAGTCTCTGGTGGCACAGTGCCTAAGACATCGACTGTGATTCAAATCCATCGTCACTCCTCAGAAGGAAGGTTGGGCAATCTACTTCCGTAGTGATGCTTCCTCGGAAACCCAAGGAGGAGTAGCAATGGGTCAGATCTGACTCAACAGCAAACTGAGTTTGGTTTTTTTAATATGAAAGAGAAATGCTATTTTGAGTAAATATGGTTAGAAAGAACATAAGAAGGGAGATTATATTCTCTTAATTTAAAAAAAATAGACCAAATCTACAAAGCAACTTTACTAATGTTGTATTGTGTATGTGGAATTTTTCTATAACTGATAGCAGAAATCTAACAACATTGCTGTTCTTGCATTTGATTATTCATTAAGGTAAATATAAACAGACTATAAAATGGGACAACCACTGTGGAAAGTGATATGGTGCTTCATTAAACAAAAATAACAATGGAAGTAGAAATACCTTGTGATCCAGCAATCCCACTACTAGGTATATATTCTAAAGAAATAAGACCCATGACGCAAACACATGTATGCATACCTGTGTTCATCACAGCATTATTCACAACAGCAAAAAAGATGGAAACGATGTCCCTATCAATGGATGAATGGACAAACAAGCAATGGTACATATACACAAGGGAATGGTATATGTTAAAGAATAATGATGGGTCTGCAAAATACCTCATAACATGGATGAACCTAGAGGACATTATGCTGAGTGAAATTAGTCAATCACAAAAGATAAATATTGTATGAGACCACTACTGTAAAAAATCAAGAAAATTTTTACAGAAGGAAACATACTTTGAAGGATATCAAGGGTGGGAGGAGAAATCACTAACTAGAGAGTAGGCTCATATTAACTCGGGTAAAGGGACAAGCAATATACAGTAAGGGGGAGGTCATCACAAAAACAATCAAAGCAGAGGAAGACACTGGGAGGAGCACAAGAGTCAAAGGCAACAACGGTAAATACTATTATATACACAATCCTGCAGTAACAGCAATAACAGTAACCTACCAGTGCATCCATACATAGACATACAAGCTGAATGGGGTGTAGGCAAATGGGACTACACCCAGGAATATACATAGATTTCACAGAGGATATTGCTACATATGTTGCAAGTGTATCTATGAATATAGTAGAGGAGACAGAGGGCAAAGTGAGGAAAACTTCTTAGCCACAACCAAACACGCTGAAGGAAATGAGTCGCTGGGCCTCAGGGCTCAAGACCATAGTCTCAAGTAATACTAAGGTCAATTGGCATAAAAAACATTTTCCAAAAAGACAGTGTTC